ACCATATCGAGAACTTGGAAAAAATAAAATAGAGATAAATGACCTACATAATATCCAGGAAATCGTGGAGTTCTGGTGTAAAATGTGGGAAAACTTTAATATGCATAATTCAAGAGCTACATGGATCAAACAATAACAAGTACAACAACTGAAACATCTGCAAAACCCAAAACTGGAAACCACCAGGAACTGCCCGAATAGCCAATTTTTGGATAAAGAAAACACCAAGATCTCGCACAGGCCTACAATGATATAATCATAAACCCAGAAATTGCCCAAAATGGGTCACGTGGGGAGTAACATACCTACTACCAAAAAATGATGAATCAGTTGATCATATTATCTCAGGATGTCTGTAACTACTAAAGAATGAATATACCCACAGATATAAAAAAAAAAAATGAGCGCCATATGTGCACTGGGAGATATGCAAGAATCACAAAATCGAAACCACTGAGAGATGGTATGAGCACCAAACAGACACATTTAACCAAAATTACGATTTAACTATCCTTTGGGACATGCTAATTCAAACTGACAGGGAAATAAAAGCCAGCAGGCCTGATATCATCAAAAAAGACAAGAAATTCAGGAAGTGTATGCTTATTGACATAGCAGTACCATCTGAAAATTATCGAGAAATTCTTCAAATACGAGGACATGGAGATCGAGATTAACAGGATGTGGTGAATTAAAAGTGAGACTGTACCAATAATAATCGGAGGCCTGGGCCTCGTGAAAAAACGTACGGACAATTTTACTAACAGTGTCCCAGGTAACATCAGCATACAATTTGCCCAGAAAATCGCCATACAAAGAACATCCCATCTACTAAGAAAAGTGCTATCAATTAATAACAATTCTACTATAGAACCGAGAGACCACAGTTTTTACCCGGCTCTACAGGATACAAAGCAGGGAACATGACATACACAAATAATAATAATAATAATAATAATAATATAATTTTTAGATTTTGTCACAAAGATTAGGGAACTAGAGCATTACGAAGCTTATAAGTACCTAGGAATTAGCGAAGGAGATGGCATACAAGAAACCCAAATGAAGGAAAAAATAAGAAAAGAGTACTACAGGCGTGTACGTCTGGTACTAAATACTGAGCTAAACTCAAAAACAGAATATCAGCCATAGACACATTGGCTGTCCCTGTGGTGCAATACAGCTTTAATGTCCTTAATTGGACCATAGCTGAAATTAAGCGAATGGACGCCAAAACGAGAAAGCTTCTCATATGCTATCGCATGCATCATCCCAGAGCTGATGTTGATCGTCTGTATGTGACCGGATCCGAAGGAGGCAGAGGATTAGTTCAACTAGAACTGTCCTACAAAACTACAACAATTGGCCTCCAAAGATACTTGGAAACTACAGAAGACTGGATGATGGTATGCGTCAAGGAACATGAAAATAGTAAGCGTCTTTACTCCGTAATAAAAGAAGCCAACAAATTCAAAATGGAGTTTCAAATGGGCGTAGAGATGCAAGTACAGCACAATACACCGGCTGAAACTGCAAAATACTTAAAAAAGACAGCAAAGACGTATGCAACCGACCAGATACAGAAGCGATGGCAAGATAAACCGCTTCATGGACAATAGCCTACCCGTACCAAACAAGCTGACGTAGTCAAAACCCGTACCCATCAGTGGCTACGTAGTGCAGGGTTGAAAGCTGAAACTGAAGGTTTCATCCTTGCTGCACAGGACCAATGCATGCTAAATAGGAATTATCAAGCACATATACTAACATATTGTGTCAGCCCAAAATGCAGATTCTGTGATAAGTATCCAGAAACGATTGATCATCTTGTATCAGGTTGCACGATATTGGCGCCCACTGAATATAAAACCCGGCATGACAGAGTGGGTCAATATCTGCACTGAAAAATCTGCAACTTCTACGGGAAGGAAACTGAAAGAAAATGGTATGAACACCACCCAGACCCGGTTACGGAGATAGGACCTGTTACAATTCTATGGGACTACACAATACACACTGACAGAACAATCAATGCCAACTGCCCAGATATTGTTATTAAAGACCACAAAAAAGTGCCTCCTTATTGATATGGCAGTCCCTGCTGATTGCAATGTATCTTTGAAGATATTCAAAAAGCTGTCAAAATACAAGGAACTTGAAATAGAAATCTAAAAAATGTGGCATATGGGAACACCAACAATCCCTAGTTGGAGCCCTAGGATTGGTTGGAAAAGATTCCAGTAGACTAATTGAAGGAATTCCTGGAAGTCCATGCCTCTAGGAGATACAAAAAATTGTTCTGACAAGTACAGCCCACACTTTACGAAGGGCTTTATCTATGTAATATTTTTTTTTTTTTTTGTCAGGGGAAAGTGTCATGATGCCATTTCTAACCTTAGGTCCCTGGGCGGGACCCGGAAAGAAATGTGTAAACGCCAGAAATCAAAGAAAATAATAATAATAATAATAATACAAGTGTCTCTTACAGATGTAAAGACCAATTATTCATTAATAGGACCATCTTGGAAAACTGCTTCAATACAAAGCAGTCTGGTGAAATGAAAATCAACAGCGTAATATTTCAAGCAGAATCTTTGTCTCCCTTACTATTTTGTATATCCCTAAAACATTAACCAGAAAAATTAGCAGGCCGGAATATGGCTATAAGATATCTCAAAAGAAAATAAGCCATCTATTTTACATGGATGATTTAAAGTTGTGTACAAGGAATGGCAGTAAACTGGAAGGTTTCCTGAAAACAGTAAAATGTTTCAGTGATGACATTGGAGTGGCATTCAGGTTGGATAATTGTACTAAATCCACAATTTTTCAAAGTTCACTACAACAAACCTCCTCTATTAGCTTAGACCCTTTGGTAACAATCAAATATTTAGAGCAAGGAGAAGCTTAGAAGTATCACGGAGTAAACGAAGGTAAAGGAATCCACCGTAAAAACGAAAAAAAAAGTGCAAAAAGCGTACTATAGATGGGCGCGATTGAATTGAATTCTCACAACACAATTATGTCCATTAATGGCCTAGCCATCCCAGTTGTTCAATATAGTTTCTAAATGATATCAGACGACTGGATTCTAAGACATGAAAGCTTCATTCTAAGCATAACATGCATCATCCCATGGCTTATGCAGGCCGTCTATACATACCGCGTAAAGAAGGTGGAAGAGACCTCATTCAGCTAGAATTGTCGTACAAGACAACTACTGGCTTACTAACATACATGGAAACAACAAAGGACTGGGTGATACAATTAGTTAAAAAACACTAAATGAGAAAGAAAAATATTCAGTCATAAAAGAATGTAATAAAAACAACCGAGATTTATATTTAGCAGACTCTGTAGAAAACCAAATCAGAATTCAAGAACCAAAGGCCACATTAAAAATTATGAAAAAGAAATCCTGAGATAAATCTCTTGAATAGATTAAACAATGATAGCCAGGCAAAAACTATGAATGGCCAATATCCAGAACGAGGCTAATAAAACCGATGATGGTCAGACAAATTTATCAATAGCCAATATCCAGAACGAGGCTAATAAAACCAATGTTAATTAATTTAAAGGCTGAAAAGAAAAGGCTTTATTCTTGCAGTGCAAAACCAGTCTTTGCACTAGAAACTTTCAGGCAAATATCCTACGTAATAATGTGAAGCCAAAATGCAGATTCTGTGACAAATCATAGAGCATCTAATCTCAGGATGTCTGAACTTGCTCCAAATGAATATAAAAATCGTCACGGGAGATTGGAGCAATACTTACACTAGACAATGTGGTAACACTTTGGAAAAGATGTTAATAAACACTGTTAAGAACATCACCTCGCACTGGTTACAGAAATAGAAGACATTATAATTCTATGGGATTACACCAAATTTACACACAGAAAGATTGAAGCAAATAGGCGGGACATAATTGTCAAACACCGAAACGAAAAAAAAACAAACTTGCCTACTAATTGATGTGGCTTGCACAGTGGACTGTAACATAGCCACGTGGGGATTTGAAATACTATCGAAGTATAAAGGCCTGAAAATCGAAATGGAAGAAAATGTGGAAATTGAAAACAAGAATAGTACCAGTCATAATAGGTGTGCTTGGAATGATAAAAGATGGAACACAAGACATCGAAAAATTCTTGGATACCCCAGCTTAATAGAAATAAAAAAAATGTCGTGATAAGTACAGCGCACAGACTATGAAGAACTCTGTCCATGTAGCGCCAGTGATGTTATAGAATTGGGAAAAAATCAAGAGCAACACACCACTACCTGCCTTAAGTATTCCCGTAGACTTGATAGGTAGTGTGGTCATAGAATAAATCGAAATAATAATTATAATCCATTATGCCATACTATAAAAAAGAAATCAAATTAAATAATGATTATAGCAACAATAATAAGAGCAATAAAGAAAATAATCCATTATAGCCAAGTATATAAAATAAATCAAAGTAAATAATAATATTTATGATGAAATTAATCCATTACTGGAATTGTATTTCCTTGGTCTTTTAGCTCTTTATTCTAATCTACCATTTTGGCTAATAATACCGATACGGTTGACGGATTTAAAATTTTAAGTAACCGCCTTTCCGAATATTTGAAGGCCATGTATTTATAGGTTAAAGAATTTCAGCATTTTAGCACAGTAGGAGATAATTAAAGTGCCGAATGTATGGAACTTACTAAATATTAAATTCAGAGACTGCTCCCAGACTTTTAGCCTGCAGTATAAGTTTACTTTTTTTACTCTACTGTAAACTAAACATTTTTCCACCTTTTTGAATCTTGTGATGTTACGACCGATATCAATGTTTTTGTTTATTCTAATATAAACCGGACCTATGGTTCGCTTTTTCACAATTAATTGTGATTTTTTGTCCTTTGAGACTTATATACGACAGCAAATAATCAAACCTATACTGAAATATTGTTAAACCAACTCTAATCTAAACTCACCTTTCCTGTTTAAACTTTTATCAGATGTCTTTTTATTATTCCCTTTCTCTTCCGTTACCGTCTTTCTACTGTCATGGCGTCGAAAGGCTTCCGCCATTTTACAGTTTTTATTTTCCCTCTTGTGTTTTCTTTTTTTTTTCTTTTGCAAATTTTGTGTTTTTTTCTTCTTCGTCCCCTGCTGAAATGTTTTTCATTTTCCTTATTTCCATCCGTATTTTATTTGTTTCTTATTTAAGATATCTTTTCTTTATTTTCCTGTCTTTATATCCTTTTTTATTTCAGAATTTTTCTTTATTTTTTGCCTTTTTATCTGTTGCTTATTTTCAAATATCTTTTCTTTATTTCTTTTCTGTTTTTTTTTTAAATTTCTGTTATATTCCGTGTTAATAGGAATATATACTTGACAAACACGGCGGATAAAATAAGTAAAGTTTTATTGTAAAAAAACAGTATAATAAGAATAAAGGTAACAGTTATGCACAAGATCGTGCAAGTCAATCCAGTAGTGAGTGCTACTATTGGAAGTTCGGTAGTTCTCGCGTAAATCTGAGTCGTACTTAAAAGATCCTAGATAGAAATATTTACTAATCTCCCTACGGTGCGGGATGTGGCACTAGGCCGAATTTAATGTGGGGCAATCCGAGTCCGTAGGCTCGGCCAAAAATTCCTCGTAAACCCCGCATAAACGGGTTCGGTTCTGTCTACCTCACCGGACTCTGCTCTTCGGCATAGCCTCGTCGGGGTTCCTCTCTGCACGAAAGCAGAGAGTTCGACAGTACAGCTTGAAAGATTTCAGATAGAATATTTACCCCCCCCACTACCACCACCACCAGGAAGGTTGCATTTGGAACAAGGCCGGATTTAACGTGGTTCTCCGAGCACGCAGGGTCGGCCAAAAAATGCCCGTAGAAGCCGCATAAAGGGATCGGGTTGGTCAACCTCCCCAACCTCCCTGCCCTTCGACTGAGCCTCGTCCGGGTACCTCTCTGCTCAGAGGCAGAGAGTTCGACCGTCTAGCCGAAAAAAAATTCAACTAGAATAACTACACCACCAACGAGTGTCGTATGTTACACATGCCCGATTTTAACGTGGGTTCTCCGAGTCTGTTGTCTCGGCCAAAAATATTCCCTTTCGAACCCGTATAAACGGGTTCAGGGTCAGTCAACCTCCCCGAACAAGACTCTGCCGTTCGGCTGAGCCTCGTCTGTGTTCCTCTCTGCTCAGAGGCAGAGAGTTCGACCGTCTATCCGAAAAGATTTCGGGTAGACTTTGTAGTCCGTATAGGTAGTTATTACGCATGCATCACTTTCATTCTATTTTTCCGTCTATTTCCCTACCCTGTCTTAGCTTTTGTACTTCTTTCGCTTCTACTCCAGTTCCTTTGGAATTACCTTTATGTCATTTCTCCAACATCATCATTTATTTCTCTTCCTTTTTTTCATTTCCAACCATTTCAATAATTCTACGATTTACTTTCTCACTAGAAACGCACATGCCTGCGTTTTTCATTCTTCATTTGTTATATTTTTCTTTTTTTTTTTACTGTGGAAATTTTTCCTGATGATATTTTTTTATCGATATTAATTATCTAGTCATGCTTTTATTTTTCTCTTCATATTTTCGTTCTTAATATTTGTTTTTATTACTTCAAACATTGTATGAGCTGGGGGGTTATCCGTGACTGAGTAGACGCCCTGTTTATGTTAATGATTATTTAACTCGTTGACCGACCTGCATTCTAGAGAAAACTTAATGAAAATGTGCTCTTTCGGTAGCATTCGAACCTTTGTCTCTCTCTGAATGATAGACCACCGTTTGTTCCGTCGTCATTTAATCGCTCGGCTACGAAGAAACACAATTTTATTGTGCCTTGAAATCACACTGACGCGTTCAGATTTTCTCGAAAGCTTCATATCTTCTCAGTTTCGTATAGAAAACCTTAAAAAGCACACTTTAAAGAATTAATGCACTTTTTTAACATCCGATATATTTTTTATTACTTCAAACGTTATTTTTAGCAGATAGTCGTATTTGAGTCGACGGTCTATTTATGTTAAATTTTAATCTCATACACACACACACACACACACACACACACACATATATATATATATATATATATATATATATATATATATATATTGTGTATATTTAGGCAGCAATTTTTCCTTGATTTATGTTTCATTAAATAATATAGATACGTTTTGCCCATGTATTTTAAGTATATTCCTTTCATATTGTCTGATAAGCTTAATAATATTATAATTGAAAGACGAAAGGAAACCACCATATTGATACATATCTAAATCCGATCTAATCTTTCGGCTTACATCAAAGATGACAATTAAATTTCAATATATCAAACAATACACGAACGAAACAATAATGTCTGTTTTTGTTGCATGAAAAATTTCAAAGCAACGGCAAACTCGTGTTGTTTGATTTTTAAAACAGTATACAGCGCGGCAATTCTGAGAGAATTAGAAATCCTTCCTAGATTAATCACCGGCGGCCACAGTCTTAACGCTAGAACATTAACCATGGGTATATATTATCCAGCGCAAATTTTCCTATTTTTAATTACAATTGTCAGTACCTGATTTTCTTACCTAAATAATGTTTTTCAGTTCCTGTTAGTGTTAAGTGAAAGTACAAAGTTTGAAGTGCCTGCATGTAAAATATTTCAAATAAAGATTTATATTTAATATTTTTTTGATATTTTCAAAATCGTGTGTAATATAACCATGGTTAATAATGGTGTAACTTTAATTGATGGTTAGTGTTCTAGAGTTAACAACATAAGATACACAGATGACACAGTAATGATAACAGGCACGGAAAAGTAACGATAAAACCCCCTACATAAGTTAGCGAAAGAGAGTGAAAAAAAAGAAAAAAGGAACTAAACATAAACTACAAGACAGAATGCATCAGTAAAAGGATGAAATCGAAATGCGATTTGTAAGTCGGTGACACTATAATCAAGCAGATGCAGAATTTTAAATATCTGGAAAGTGTGTGAGACACTGAAATCCGCAGACATATTGGGATGACTAAGAACGCATTCCAAAAGCTGGGCAAAGTATTGCGAAACAGGAGGATTTCTTTGGTAACAAAGAAAAGAATACTGAGCCGTTACGTGGCATCTGTCCTCGTTTACGGCAGCGAATGCTGGACCGTCACCTCAAAGATGAGGAAGAGACTCGAGGCGACGGAGATATGGTTCTACAGACAGATGCTGCGGATTTTATGGACCGAGCGTGGGAGCAACGATGAGGTCTTGGAGATGACACGAACAAGGAGGAGGCTGATACTTAATATCAGGAAGAGGCAGCTGAAGTTTCCTGGACACGTAATGAGAAAGGAGGGCCTGGAGAATCTAATACTAACGGGTCGAAGAGAGGGAAAGAGAGACAAGGAAACAACGCATGACATACCTGTCGGGCTTAAGCAAGCGGATGACAGAACCTGGTCTGGGGGAACTGGCAGAGGGACGAAGCTTATTGAGAGCTACAACGGATGGTGGGGGAGTGGAGAGCCCTGATCGCCCACGCCCTGAAAGGGCACGGCACATAAAAAGAACTCCATCTCTATAAGGAAGGGAAATGAATCCAACAATTTCACTTTTATCCAACCGACCCCTCTTTCATTTCATATGCCCTATCCCGACACCATTCTAATGTGTATGCATTTCATTCGCAACAGGTGCGTTGCCCCTGGCGTTGATGGGTCGACTTCCATCCATAGAAACTTCCTTCCTTACAATCCATCGGATTCAGTCGGAATTTTCAATTCATCGCCTGACGCAACTTAGCCGCTCCATCTGTCGCTCGATGGTAAATAGTTTGTCGGATACATGTTTGCTTCAATAGTTACATTCATTTTTAGTCTTTCTCTCTGCCGATCTATCTATCTATCTATCTCAGACTATTCATATCTATCTATCTATCTATCTATCTATCTTAGTCTGTACATATCTATCTTTGTACATATCTATCTATTTATCTGTCTTCGTTTGTACATACCTGTCTGTCTATGTATCTTTGTCTGTACATATCTATCTATCTATCTATCTATCTATCTATCTATCTATCTATCTATCTCTTCGTACATATCTATCTATCTATTTATTTATCTATCTCAGACTATTCATATTCATCTATCTATCTATCTATCTATCTATCTATCTCAGACTGTTCATTTCATCTCTCTCTCTCTCTCTCTCTCTCTCTCTCTATATATATATATATATATATATATATATATATATATATATCTTCGTACATATCTATCTATCTATTTATCTATCTCAGACTATTCATATCTATCTATCTATCTATCTATCTATCTATCTATCTCAGACTGTTCATTTCATATCTATCTATCTATCTATCTATCTATCTATCTATCTATCTATCTATCTATCTGTTCCCATCTATTAAGCTATCAATATGTGCGGCTTGATTGCTGGCTACCTAGATCCGCAACGAAATGCACTGAAAATAGTTTTTAAGCATTTCACCCCCAACCAAGGCCGGAGTGCCACTTTTACGCAGATCCTTTCCAGAGAGTGAGATTAAAAGATTAAAGCGGGTTGTTTGCAGAAAGGATAGAGAGAAGGACTGGGATCGGGCTCAATGCATCAGATTGACATTACATTTGAATCAAGGAAGCAAGAAGGCGGAAGGGAGTTCCATTGTAGGGAAATGCGATATTAGAAGAGGCGGTTATATTGAATTTTTTCTGCAGTGAGAAGGTGGGATCGAGATGCCAAACTACTAGCACGCTTAAATTCATAAAGTTTCGGAACAAGTGAAAGTAGCTCGTCGGATTAGTTGCCATGAAAGTACTTGTAGAAATGACAGAGGGAAACCACGGCACATCTGTGAGAAAGTGACTGTAGATGAGATGCCAGATAAGAAAATACCACATTGCATATCCGTCTTTGGAATTTGTCTAGGAACACGAGATGAACAGCGTGGACACCAGGACGAATAGTAGATTTGAAGGATGGACTTTGGCGAGAAAAAAAACTTCTGGCGCGACACAAGGAACCACCTTACATTGATTCAATGTATTTTTTCAACTTCAGGTCAATGTAAAACGTGAGACTAAGAAGGCGCAGAGTGACGCTCTCGTGGGGTTGGGCATCAGCCATGCTGATAGGAGGCAGAGAAGGTTTCTCTGTGGTGGGTTAATGAAAGCAGTTTCGTTTGAGAGGCATTAAAATTTACAAGCCATTTCCTGACCCATTCAACCATAGATTGGAGGTCCTTTTTGAGACCGGTGGCTAAGTGCCGGATTTACCATTGAGACAGAATTAAACAGTAGTGTTGTCTACATGGATGCCTACTTGGCAACTGATGTCATCAGGAATATCGTTGATGAAGATCAGAAACAGTGTATGACCCAGGATAGAGCCTTGGGTAACACCAGCGATCGTATGAAAGGAATTAGAGAAAGACACTTTTACGACGACCTTCATTTCACAGCTTGACAGGAATGATTGTATTACATCAAATAATCGTCCTGTAATACGGTATCCCTGAATCATATATAGAAGGCCGGTATGCTAAACCCTATCAAACGTTTTAGAGATATGTAGAGCCACTGCTCGAGCTTTGCCATTATTATCAAGAGCTTGATATACAAATTCAGTTATGACTGTGAGCGTAGTCCGGGCAAATTGGAAACCATATTGTTTCTCAAAGCGATGATCATGTGATGTAAGTTGCTTAACCAATTCGGCGTTGATTAAAGGCTCGAAGACTTTATCGAAGAGTGGTAGGAGACTGATTGGGCGGTAGTTAGATGGGTCAGAAGTGTCTCCAGATTTTTTAAAAACAGGGGCAAAAAATGAGGATTCCAACTGGTCGGAAAGCAAGATACAGCGAGACAATACTTATATAGCTTAGAGAGAACAGGAGCAAGCTTAGGAGCACGTTTCTTTAGGACTACGGCTGGTAACCCGTTACCACCACTTGCCTTATGAGAGTCTAATTTAGAGATGATGTCTAAAACCATCGACGGGGTTATTCTCGTCTGACTCAAAAGAGCAACAGTTCTAGAAAATATAGAAAATAAGGTGTAGGTACTCCGGGTGAGTCGAGTGTTGAACTTGATGAGAATTCTTGAGCAAAGTATTCAGCCTTATCAGCTGAGAATGTTAGGACCTCAAATTGAATTGAAGAGATATTGTGGCTTTGTTGTTCAGCACAATCTTCCAGAGCCGCCAATAATCTTTAGAACCAAACTTGCGAGATGCAATAGGTTTCAACAAATAGTAACTTTGCTTCATTGAGGACACGCTTTCACTTATTACCCTCAGAGACAAAGAGATGTCGGTTGCAATCAGACATGTCGCTTCGGTACAGACGGAAGAAGTAATTCCTGTGGGCTATAGCAGCTGAGCAAGCAGCTGAGATCCAAGGAGATAAGCACGATTTAACTTTCTAATTTCTTGCTGGGATGAAAGCTTCGATGCCGGCTTTTGCCCAAGAAGAGATCTCAGTGGCACATTTTTAAACGGGGGTGCTTATAAACCGCATTCCAGGTGACGTCAGGAAGGAAATCACGGAACGAGTCCCATTCTGCTCGTTGATAACAGAAAGATATTCTGTTAGTAAGAGGTTCTTGGCTGGGTGGGGAGTAAAAGGAGATGTTAACAGACACTACGACGTGTTCAGAGTTGCCAAGAGGGAAGGGCTGGGTAACGCGACAAGAGTCAGGAATGAAGATAAAACCAGTATCGAGAAGGGAAGCGTTACCGTCAGGGTTTACTGGGGAAACGTATAGGAAAGTCAACCATTTGTTTGAGGGATTGAGTGATTGAATAGTTAAATGTTTGTATGCCAGTTACAGAGTGTTTAAATGGTGGGCGTTAAATTCACCAAACACAAATATGTGCGCAAACTGATATAGAGAGATGGCCTTGTCTATATTATCGGAAATGCTATCGAGTACACCACAGTCTTGAGAGGAAGGAGAATGCTAGAGAAACAAGAGATAGTTTACTGAATTGGAAATAGACGGAGATACAAATACGAATGGTCTGGAGACTTAAGAGACTTCCCTAGGCAGCGGGAGATGATCACCGACATAAACTCCCAGGCCATGAGTGTGGATTTTAGAGGAAAGTAGCCGGGAATCGAGAAATCAGAGGCGAAGATTAACGAGGTAAGGTTAGTTCCGTAGAAAAGCTAGTATATCAGAGACTTTTGAAAGAAGAATGATTCCACACTGCAGAAGTCGGTACGAATGCCATAGATGTTGGAAAAGGAAATAAAGGATTTGGGTAATTTTTTAGCTGGTTTTGGTTTATTTTTTTTTATTGTTTAAGTTCATGTTGACTTATACTATTTACATTATTCAAACTAGTCCTCATCTTTGTTGCCATATTCATCACATCGTTTCGGCCGTTGTGCGCTCCGGCCTTCTTAATAAATGAATGACAATGACAATGTTTATGTTTTCATTCACCCCGTTTTTAAATTAAGTCTAGTCCTGCTCCCCAATCAACACTGTTATTTCACACATAGCTGCAAAGTAAATGAAATGGATTTATATATTTCCCAAAGATGATACTGAGAAGTAAACGAAATAGACTAAGACAGAATTCGAACTCGTTTCACCAATTCTAAATTCCACGCCGACAGTCTTATATTACAAATATACTCAAAAATATTGTCCTTGGTAATGCAACAGCAAAATTATCACATTTAAATTTAAAATAAGATTGAGAAAAGATGGAAAAGGTTGCGTAAAACACACAAAAAAATAATCAATCCGAAAAATTTTGATAAATTTCGTATTGAAGCATTTTAAATTTCATTAAGAATTATTAATTTTAGGGATAGTATTTTTTATAGTTTTCTTTGAATAATTATCCATTTAAACAGTTTTTAGAAAAATACTACGTTACCTAATTTATTTATTTTTGGCCGTTATTTACTAAAGTATTCGCATGTTTTCACTCACAGTACCCGTCATGCGTCTGCGTGGCATTATCGCCTTGCTTGGAGTGAAATGATTTTAAAAACAGTTCATTTTAATTGATTAAACGATCTGATTCGAGTTCATATAGTGATTGGTAACACAGTGACCCTTTCATTTGATGACACGTATGACCTTCCATAGGGTTACATAGGGATTTTGAATTCAGAATTGTCCTTCTTCTAGACTGGTTGCCAATCAAAGCTAAATATTCCAGTTTGACCTACTGTTTAACCCTTGGCTGGGGTCAGAAGAAATGAACGTATAAAATTACCAGTGCTATATGCGCGACACTGAATGCAAAACAAAACGCAAAATATTCGAACACGACTCTCAGATTCCTCGTCGCTATGCAATACACCACCCGCACACGTTTAGAGTAAAGATCGTTAATGACGGCAACAAAACAACTGTTTATATGATCGAATAGTAGATATATGAATATGTATGATGGATTCTGATGTGTGAAATGTTCTAGCACGAGAGAGTAAACCAGCTTTCCAATAAGTAGAGACAGCAAATGATTCCATAGTGTCGCTTCATTTCGCTAAATTATCATTTTTTTAAGTACTTAATGGCGCAGTTCATTTTAAAACTGAATTCGTCAAAATCTTCCACCCATATTTACAAAAAAGATGGAAGAATAAGGACACCATTTTAAGAAAAGTGTGGAATGATTTATAAAAACGAATATAACTTACGCCAAAACAATTGTAGAATTTAACGTGTGGTTATTCTGATATATCAAGAATATAAAAAAACAACATTTTTTTACAAGGTTTGTGTTGCAGATATGTCTTTGAAATTAATCCCTTCTTGTGCTATAAAAGTTGTGATTGATAGCGATAAAATTAATTTGAGAATCAGGTGTGACTCTTTAGTGTTGCCTTGCAACACCATGCGTTGACTCAATAAATATTAATAACTGACAACACTAAATGTAATCTGGAATTCTAAGGTGATGGTTTTAGTGTTAAAAAACTTTATCTCGCCTCATATTTTGTAACTAAATCAAATACTTTTGTGGAAAATAAAATTATCTCTTTCACAATTTTATACTAAATTAAAAGTTTTAGTCATAAAACTTATCTAAACTTTTAAACTAAACTGGCTTTGGAGTTTAAAAATTTTTCCCGCCTGCCCTGTTCATACTAAAATAAGGATCATTTTATTTAATTTTATTTTATTATTTCACCACCGATCAAAAAAGAAAAAAAAAATCTGACAACAAAGATAAGGACATTAATCTGATTGTAAATAATGTCTTCTGCACCCTCTCAAATCTGCATTGTGTTACTCTCTCTTTATTTTCTTTCTCTCTCTGGTGGGGGTGGCAGGGCTTGCTTAGTCGGGCCCTCTTAACAGCACATCGCATATCCTTTTCCTGTTGACGCATAAACTCGAAAGTCTCGGTCCCAACTCCTGCTTCAGATGATCCTACCCCAGGAAG